TATATATATATATATATATATATATATATATATATATATACTGTGTATACACATTACCATTAAATATCCAAAGAAATTTTGTTAAAAGGCAAAGTTGTTATAATCTTAAGGGAATAGAGATATTTGTCAAACCAAAATTCAGAACTAGTCTGAAGGGAAGGTCTACCTCAATCCAAGGAATTGGATTGTGGAATGGTCTAGAGAGTGATGTTAAAAATGCCAAGTCAATGTGTACATTTAAGAAAAAGATCAAAGCTTAATTGTTAAAAATATATATATGAAGTAGCTTAGTGTGTTTTTGTATTAGAATTGGAAAAATTTGAAAGAGTTATTCATTTTGTTCTGTTACTTGAAGATTATTATGATTTAACTAATTGTTTGAAAAAAGGGGCAGATATAATAAGATTTTTTCTTCTTACTGCTGCCTTTCATTTTAAATCTCTTGTATTTTTTATATAGTTATGAATCTGTTTTGTATTTTTAGAATGAATAAACTTTATACCATACCATATATACACACATATATATACGTATATATGTACAGTGCCTTGCGAAAGTATTTGGCCCCTTTGAACTTTTCAACCTTTTGCCACATTTCAGGCTTCAAACATAAAGATATAAAATTTTAATTTTTTTGTGAGTTCAAGAGAAAAGTTCAAGGGGGCCGAATACTTTCGCAAGGCACTGTAAATAACGCAAAGCCACAACAGAAGTCATCTCAGGGCACTGAACAGAAACATTCACATACATTAAAAAAAAGCCCATTAGTGAAGTTCTCTGTCTAAGGAAGCAGCAGGTTGTGTTGAATCTTCACTTCGTCTCAGTCTCCCATCCTGAACAAGCTCAAAGGAGACAGTGAAAAGGAAAAACTCCCTTTTAACAGGAAGAAACCTCCAGCAGAACCAGGCTCAGGACGAGCAGCCATCTGTGTCAACTGGCTGGGTTTGAGATGACAGGAAGGAGAGGCAAACACAGAATGACAGGTCCAGATGTACTTTCTATTGAAGGGAAAAAACATGTCAAGGATATAAATAATTACAAACAGGTAGAGCAGAGTAACTAAAGACTGTAGCAGAGTGAAGAAATGTGGTCAGTTTGTCCTCCAGCAAGGGATAGCTCAGGAAACCCAAGCTAACCCTAACTATAGGATTTATCAAAAAGGAAAGTCTTGAGCCCAGTCTTAAAACTGGACAATGTGTCAGCTTCATGGACAGAAACTGGAAGTTGGTTCCACAAGATAGGAGCCTGATAACTGAAAGATCTTCCTCCCATTCTGCTTTTGGAAACTCTAGAAATCACAAGTAAACCTGCAGTCTGATCATTGTAGCCTTTAGAAAAATGTTTTTTGCGGGGAGCTGGGGTAGTTCACTATTGGCTCCTGTGGCTTGGCCTAACCTTAATGGCATTTTCCCCCTTACATTACTTTTACTTTTATAGGGAGTAGTGGCACAGAGGTTAGAGAAGGTGGGCCTGTGATTGGAAGATCGCTGGTTAGACTCCCCGTACCGACAATATAAAAAAAAAAAATGTGTAAGGGATAGTTGAAACACTCACACCTGCCCCCACCTTCATTTGCCCCACTCTGGGCCCTTGAGCAAGGTCCTTAACCCCCACCATCTGTTCCTCCAGGTGCCCTGGATAGCAGCTCTCTGCTCCACACAGAAGACTGTGGTAGCTCGGTGGTCTGTGGTTGTGTCAGGAAGGACATCTGGTGTAAAAATAAATAAAAATTGCCAAGTCTTCGTTGGACTTAGTTCGCTGTGATGACCCCTAACACAGGGAGCAACTGAAAGAAGAAGAAGAAAGAAAAAAACATTACTTTTACTTTTATGCTTTATGGCAGTTTTGAAACCAGTACTTTTACACTTTTACTTGAGTAAAAAAACTTAAGTTGACATTTTAACTTTTACAGGTCTTTTTTAAACTCTAGTATCTATATTTCTGCCTGAGTAAAGAACGTGAATATTTTTGACACTTCTGCATATTAAGTGATAACAAACTGAGCCAGAAATGTGAAACCACCAACAGGAAACTGTTGTTTTTATAAACCATGTGGTCGAAGTGGAAGAGCTTCAGATGAGACAGAGATATGAAAACACTCACGGCTCTCATTTAAGTCACATATGTTTTTTATTAGTAGTATAAATGTGAAAGCTTTAATAAGTTTTTTTTTTTTTTTTTACATGAAACAGCTTCAGGACTCAGTCTCAGAGTATGTGTTATGGATAACTGTCAGCTACTACCATAACCAACATTAGATAAATAGCCTTAAAACTGACTGAATTCAAGCCTTTTTTAAGTCAGACAACTGTGGCGGCCATCTTGAGTTAGGTTGGCTCTAAAAGTGAATCAGTTGTTAATGTGCAGCCAATGATTAGCCTACTGTCTAAACTTTACCATCTGTTCAGTTGTTCATGAGATATTTAATATCATGCCAATTGCACGTGTCCTCAAAACTTATGACATCTGTGTCATTGTACTGTGATAAAACTACACATTTGAGAGTGGCCTTTTATTGTGGTCAGCCTAAAGCACACCTGTGCAATACTCATGCTGTCTAATCAACATCTTGATATGCCACACCTGTGAGGTGGATGAATTATCTCGTCAGAGAAGAACTCACTAACGCAGATTTGTGAATGATATTTGAGAGAAAAAGGCCTGTTGTGTACATAGAAAAAGTTTTAGATCTTTGCTCAAGAAAAATAGAAGCAAAAACAAAAGTGATGTGTTTATCAGAAGAATCAGAATAAACTTTATTGTCATTGCACCAAGATACGAGAACATGTATGTACAGTCGTCCGAAAGATGGGCAGAGTGCACAAAGCTGCTACTATAAAAAGCGTGGCCCTCATTATTCTTATTCAGAATAATATTTTGCTTAGATGAGAAATGGAAAGAAAACACGAGGAGAGGTGGTATAAAAAAAAGATCTCTCACGCCGTGTCCTAGACAGGGCACGATTTGAGGCATAAAAAAAACCTACCACAGCAAAGCAACATAAACAGACATGATACATGTACATATAG